GCTCTTGGTAATTTGATTAGTCTTGGATTAGAAGACTTGTCTGTTGTGTTACTTGACCTCCTGAATTAGCTTGCTTTCAGGTTACAGGAGGTAACCTTGCTTTTCTTCAATCCCCTTTGTATCTAGAGAGCATATAATAAAATTATTTTCTCTTAAAATTTCATTTTTTCTCTTAAAGGTTTAAAGCACAGTATTATGGGGCCATAACGATAGTATAGTGTGTAAGGTACTTGCCTTGAAGGTGCGTGACCCGGGTTTGATCCCCTGCACTGCAAAACTGCAAATGGTCCCCTGAGCCCCGCCAGGAGTAAGCCCTAGAATGCCACTGGGTGTGACCCAAAACCAAAAAAAAAAAAGATTAAAAATTAAGAACAGTATTATTGTTTGCCAAAAACTAATGATTATTTTGTATTCTGTTAACATATCTATTGTGTTTCACAAAAAAGCAGGCAGTCCTGATTAGTTTTCAAGTTGCGAGACACACAAAGATATGCACACAATGTAAGACACTTTTTTTTATGAGACAATGGTGATGTAGAAACTTGTCCATTTTGTATGACCAACAAATAAAGGAATCGAACATGTTTATCCAGGACAGGAGAAGTCTCAAAGGAAATCAGATATTGTCTTCATGTATTGGTTGACCTGTTTTATGGGGAAGTGAATGTCACTTCAGAGGACATACATTTATAAGATTGATGTCAAGGAAAATGTTCAGTGAGCTGTCCTTGAAAAGCACTCGGTAGTCAAATGTGACTAAAACATGTTACTTTTCTTGAGATTTAAAATATATACCAGGGGCCGGAGCAATAGCATAGTGGAGAGGGCATTTGCCATGCATGCAGCCAAACTGGGTTTGATCCCCGGCATCCCATATGCTCCCCTAAGCACCGCCAGGAGTCAATCCTGAGTACAGAGCCAGGAGTAACCCCTGAGCATTAGTGGGTGTGACCCCAAAAGCCAAAATAAATAAATAAATAAAATTAAATGTATACCAAATACATACTACCTGAAAAATGTAGTTTTAAGATTTCTTAATCCCAGCTTGCCATAAAAATATTCCTTAAAACTGGTTTTTCTAAGGGCTATCTTCTGAAAATGGGTGGTGACCCTATGTGGAGTCATAGAAATGAATGTTGCAAAAAGTTTATGGTTGCAGAAAAATTTGGCAGTAGTAAAAGATATTCTGAACACACAACAACCCAAGATTAATTATTTCAAAATTAGCTACATAATGAATCAAGGAGTTTCTGGCAGTGTTCACACATGTTGCATTTCTCAGACAAAAGGGGGTCACAAATGGAAGATGGAAAATCTAGGTACTGACACTACTAGGTAATGATTCACAGAGTGTGATTGTGGGACCAGTATTACCTGGGAAACTATTACAAAAGTAACTTCTTGGCCTTACCCCAAACCCCAAAAGTAACTTCTTGGCCTTACCCCAAACCCCTTTGGGAGCTGGGCCCAGAAATCTTTGTGATAAGTTGTCTATGAGTGTGTGCTGTGGCTGAACTGTGAGAAGCATTGCCAAAATATTATAGTATTATTCTATAACTCAGTTTCCTTCATAGTGCCTTTGTTTTTATTATTAAAGATTTCTTCTAATGATACTCGGTGACTCTGATGTATTTTATAGACGGTTACTCTAATGAGATTATAGCACTGTAGCACTGTCCTTCTATCCTTCCGTTGTTCATTGATTTGCTGGAGCGGGCACCAGTAACGTCTCCATTGTGAGACTTGTTGTTACTGTGTTTGGCATATCAAATATGCCACAGGGAGCTTGCCAGGCTCTGCTATGAGGGCGGGATATTCTCGGTAGCTTGCCGGGCTCTTTGAGAGGGATGGAGGTCGGCTGCGTTTAAGGCAAACACTCTACCCACTGTGCTATTGTTCCAGCCCCAATGAGATTGTAAAGAAAATAAACACTTATGAAAGTCTTTAATTATTTTTCAAAATAATATAGGGTCTATCTAGCTTATATCAATTTGGATATTTTAAATACTCCTAAGTAATCTGTAGCTTATTTAGATATATAATATATAATGTTTCTAAATACATATTTGTATAATGAAATATGCCTTAAATACATTACTATTGCCATTTTTGATGGAGCTTTACATTTACTTTAAGATGTTCTTTGAAAGGGTTGACTTTTTCTTAATTGTCTTGAAGTATCTATAATGTATCTTGAACTGTGTCAGCTTATTATGAGATTAAGGAAATTTCTGTTTCTTTGCATAAGCAGAAATGAAATTCTGGTGCCACTGTATTATCTCATCAAAGAAGCATTACATTTTTAGGAAAATGTAATTGAAGTATAGTTTTTTACTTAAGTAAAATGTTTAATTAAGAGGAATAGGAGAGAGAAAAGAAAGAGGAGAGGAGAAAGAGAATATGAGAATGTGAATGGATTGTTTGTCCTGATAACGTTAATGGTGTACTTTACTATTAAAGATGAAATGATCTTTAATAGTAAATCACAGTGCCACAATAAAAGATGAAAATGTCTTAAAAACTTCAATTGGGGGGGTGTGAAGCGATAGCACAGCAGGTAGGGTGTTTGCCTTGCACGCGGCCGACCCGGGTTCAATTTCCAACATCCCATGTGGTCCCCCTGAGCACTACCAGGAGTAATTTCTGAGTTCAGAGCCAGGAGTAGTAACCCCTGTGCATCGCCAGGTGTGAGCCAAAAAGCCAAACAAACAAACAAAAAACTTCAATTGGGATTGGAGTCTTAAATTGGTTTTATTTTTTTTTGGGGGGGGGGAGGGCACACTTGATGGTGCTTCAGACTTATTCCTGACAGACCTTGGGCTACCAGATGTGGTACAGAGATGGAACCTAGGTCAGGCTCCTGCAAGGTTCCTTAACCCTGTACTATCTCTCTAGCCTTGGAATCATAAGTTAGAATCATTAGTATTTCTCTGCCTCCTTCTCTGCCTTTAGGCTGTGGATCTTTATGTGGTCTGGGATGACTGAATTTCACCCAGCAGCTCACATATTTTCTGTGCCTGTGGATAGAACAGAGCCTACTTGATTGAGAATCAAAAGACTAAGATCAGGGGGCCCAGAGACATAGTACAGTGGGTAAGGCATTTGCTTTGCATGCCACCCACCCCTTTTGATCTAAGCACCACTTACAGTTCCCAGAACATCACCAGTAGTGCAGAGTCAGCCCCTGAGTACCTCCAGTTGCCCTTAAACAACAACACAACGTATTCTACAACTAAAATAAATTTTTTAGTTATGTGTGTCCACGTTTTGGATCTCTTATGAAATTAAAAAGCTGACCTTAGACTTTGATTCTATTTGAATTTCTGCCCTAATAAAAGAAGTTTTTCAGGAGAGAGATGCACCATGCACCTTTCCTAAGGCAGGACCTGCAGTATAAGTTCAGGTTGGAGTTGGAGGTGTAAAACAGCATAATCACTCACAATATCATGCTTTCACAGAAAGAAAAGGAAGTGAGTTTTGTCTATAAAGAGATAGAAATTCAAGAGTAAAAAGTACCAAGGCAGTTCCTCAAAATGAGCCTCTTCTTTCTCTTCCAAGAGGAAGCTCCAAGTGGAAATAGAATTTAATCCTGTATTTTCTCCCATTGGGTGATATGTTTATCTCCTTGCATAATAATGGACATTATGATTAGGAAGACATTGTCTCACACAAGCATCATGTGATTCTCTCAATTAAACCTGTAAGGTAGTGTACTTAGTAACATATAAAGAAATAAAGATCAAAAAGAGTAAATTGCTCTTGGTACAGAGCTAAGAGTTTAAACAAAAATCTATTTCCCAACAAGCTGAATGCTAATAATCATGAGAGAGAAGAAGAGAGGCTCAATCAAGGGAGAATATGAGCTTCTCCAAAGGGGAGAGAGATGAGAAATAGGCAAATGTATAATGTAACCTTTTCCTTATTTTATTTGGTTTGGGTATTTGGGGCTACACCGGGTGTTATTGGGTAATTATACCCTTGGCTCCATCCTCGGAGGTCATTCCTAGTAGCCTCTGTTGCAGTGTATAGGGATCAAACCTCAGGGCCTCAGGGCCTCCCACATGCAAAGTACATGGGAGACCCAGGTTTGATAGCTCACAGCCCTTTGAACTCTCTTGCTCAACTTTATTCATTTTTGTGGGTATTATAAATGTACATTTTAAATGTTGATAAGTACCTCTGTAAGTCAAGCTGAAAAATTTTGGATTTTTTGAAGGGACTTTGATATATTAAAATGTTCACTGTATCACTGTAATCCCATTGTTCCTTGATTTACTTGAGCGGGCACCAGTAACGCTCGTCTCTGTATGTCCCAGCCCTGATATTTTACCAGCCTCTCTGAACTCGTCTTTCCCAATGATTGGAGGCTCTTTCAGGGTCAGGGGAATGAGATCTGTTATAGTTACTGCTTTTGGCACATATGTTACAGTATATTTTAACATAAGTGCATGTAAAATAAATATATTTTTAGTATTCCTTGCAATAAAATATGGCCAAATTTATCTCCATTTCTTAAAAGAGTTTTGCCATCTCCTTTTCATACAAGTACATGTTCTTTGGTTTGATATTATTATGTCAATTGATATTTTATTTTTACTCAGGGGTCAAGACTAATAGTTTAGAAAGAGGAATTTTGATTGCTGATATCCAACAGCAAAAGGGCATGGTATCGACATGAGTTTAAGTAGTGTTATCATTATTACTATATTTAAACACCCATGGTAGACAGAGGTTTGTTAATGACCAAATATAACATTGTTAATGATGTCACTGTCCCACTCCCAGGACAACTGTTCCTGAAAGGACCTGTTCACATGATAAGGAAGAGAACAGATGTGATGGTTTGGAGCTAAATGATATTTCATTGTTGACTCACAGAAAGAAATTTATTTTTTGACTGTGTATTCTAAAGAGAATCTAGTTGTTTTTAATTTTGCATACTAACTTTCCTCATGTTTTTTAAAAATATAGTGTCATGTTTAACTGTTTTCTCTCTTTAGTTTTCCTCACAGGTGAAAAGGCTAATTCAATATTAAAACGCTACCCAAGAGCAAATGGATTTTTTGAAGAAATAAGACAAGGCAACATTGAACGTGAATGCAAAGAAGAAGTCTGCACATTTGAAGAAGCCAGAGAAGCTTTTGAAAATACTGAGAAAACTGTAAGTATATTGGCAATTTTAAATGATTTTTCAAAAATTGTTCTGCCTTCTTGATGTCTCTATGAAAATTATATTCCCAAATTGTTACCAGTGAAAAATTAACCAGAGAAGAACTCTAATGTGGCATGTGCCTCCTAATACTTACTGGGTTGGAGAATTCTGTTCACTTCCCTATGGATCAAGACTGTCTTTGAGGTTCCATTTCCACAGGACTCTGCTGAACTGAACTGTGTCTTTTTAGGGAGGGGGAAGCCTCTGATTCATGAGAGACTTTGTTCTGGAAATTCATAGATCACATCACCTTATTCTACTTAATAACAGAAAATTATGAGGAAGAAGCTCATGGATGCTGACATTATTTTAATATGTTTCGTTTCTTATCCAAAAGAAAGATATACCCAACTCCCCTCCCTGCTGTGTAAGACTACTCCTGTTCACTCGATTTCAGACGGCAGACTAACCAAAAGACATTAGGATGGAAAAGTACAAAGCAGTTCTACAGAAATTCCATTCTAGAGATAGCTATTATATGAATTTCCTACCTGCCATGAACATAACATTACATGCTGAACACTTGATGTTAGATTTACTAAAGGAGTATGAGAAGTGGCTATAGTTTTGTTTGGCTGGCCCTTAGCATGCGGCTCAGAGGTATAACACTTGTATTCGAGGTATGAAGCTGGAGTTTTATTCAAAATATCACCTCACATACCAGGTGCATCCTAATGGCACAATTTCCAGTACACTGCTGCCAAATATGTGCAAGCACCACAACCCAATGAATGATCCCTGGCGAATAACACAACCAAGTGTTTGAGCATCATAACTAAGTCCGTGAGCTTCACAATTAAGTGCTTAACTTCTGAACTAACAACCAGAATGGCAACAACAAAGGGATGGGAAAGGTATCACATAAATAATAATGATAGGCAAGAGAAAGTACTCAAATGAGTGGAGTGTATGCATGCTGGAGTTCTGGGTTTGATCTCCAGTACCACATGGTTCCCTTGGGCCAGGAGTAACTCCCCAGGTACCACTGGGTATGGCATAGAAGCAGAAAATTATTGTAATAATAATAATAATAATAACAATAATAATAATAATGAAGGGTTGTCTTGTTATAGAGAACAAGAGAACAACCTTGGAGTGAGAGAAAGGAGTGTAAGCAAAGTTGATCAGAGAGCCATCAGTGTTAGATTCAGCATACACAGCAAAAGCAAAATTATTTTATAATTTATAAGCTGTAAGTATTTTCATTATCATTATTATTTTATTTCAAGGCCACACCCACCAGTACTCAGGATTTACTCCTGGTTCTGTGCTCAAGGATCACTCCTAGCAGGCCTCAGGGACATATGCAGTTTGGGGGATCGAACCTGGATCACATGTGTGGATAGCAAGCCATCAACACACTGTACTATATTTCTGGCCCATCATTATTATTTTTCTGGTCTTTCTTAACTTTTTAAATAAATCATGCAGCAAAAACAGTGAATAGAATACATCATCTACAGTTCCATCATGCAGTCGGTCACAAAGCACTGTTGACTTTTTGATTTTAAAATTGTTATTATTTTTTAGACAACATGATTTACATATAAAGCTTTTGATTATAGAGTTTCAGGTACTCAAAGTTCCAACTCCAAATACACTAGTAGTATCAACGTCCTTCCACCAGTGACTCAAGGTTCCCTACCTCATTTCCTCAGCAAACTTGATCTTTTTTTAAAAAAATTCCTTATGATAATTTGGGTCACATGTTTACAATAGTGTTTACTCTTATGGATTAGATGTAGTTAACCTCACCTCTACACCAGCAATGTTCAGTCTCTTAATCAATGTCCTTAGGTCATTGCTGGTCTGACTCCTCATTTCCTCTCTTGACACACACACACACAGCACACACGCCCCTACCTTGACATTCTTATTTATACAATTCAGGGCCAAGAGTTTGCCATCATTTGATGCCTTTCAGTCTCTTGTCACTCTACACATTACTGATCAGTGAGAGGGTTCAGTACTCGTCCTTCTCTTAACTTAACATGATATCTTCAAGCACTAACCAGGTGGCAGTGAACTGCATGGCTTCGATTTTTTTTCTGTTTCATTTTCATCTATTTATTTTTAATTGAATCACCATGAGATATACAGTTACAAAGTTGTTTGATATTGGGTTTCAGTGATACAATATTCCAACACTTGTCCCTTCACCAGTGTTCATTTCCCACCACCTGTATACCCAGTTTCCCCTTCCATCACCCGCTTCCCCACCTGCCTTTACAGCAGAAACTTTTCTCTTTCAAGCTTGCTGTTTTTCTCTTTTCTTTGGGGCATTATAGTTTGCAGGATAGGTGCTAAAAGATTATCATGCACACCCCATTACCTGCTTTCATCACTTACTTAGTTCTTGTCCTTGTCCAGAGTGATCATTACCTACTATCACTGTCATAGTCACCCCTTCTCTCTGCCTTCCCTTGCTCCCAAATTGTGGCATGCTTGCAACCAAAACAACCCGAGTCCTCGAGAACAGAAAACTGGATAAAGAAACAGGTACATGGATAAAGAAACAGGTACATCTAAACAATGGAATACTACACAGCCACCAGGAAAAAAATGTCATGAAATTGGCTTTTAAATGGATGGATGAAGAGTATTATGCTGAGTGAAATGAATCAGAAGGATAGGGACAGACATAGAATGATTGCATTTATTTGTGGGATATAAAAATATAGTATGAGACCAATATCTTTTCTTAGGGTTGCATTATATAAATAATTATATATATATATGTATATAAAACTTCTTTTCTTGGGAAGGTGCACACCCAGCTGTGGTCAGGGCTTACTCCTGACTCTGCTTAGTAATCTGTCCTGTTAAGGCTTAGGAGACTTATGGGGTGTGCAAGGGATCAAGTTCTGGTCAGCTGCTTGCAAGGCAAGACCATGGGTGAACGGGCATCAGGGTTTCAGTTCTACTGGTAATATGGGTGAGAGGTATAGCCATATATCCAAAACATAGACTCAACAACACTGAAAACATGAGATCTAAGCTGCTACCACTAAAACTTTATAATGTACCTATCAAGTTGACAGGCAGGAATGGGGCAGGATTTGGTTGGGGATGGAAAATGGGAGCACTGGTGGAGGGAAATTGACACTGGTGGTGGGATTGGTGTTGAAATATTATGCACCTAAAAGTCATCTATCAATAACTTTGTAAATCACAGTTCTTTAATTAAAAAGTAAAAAATTAATAATAAATTTAAAAAGAGCTTTACTGGTTACCACAACATCTTTTTAAAAATTGAATTACAGTGAGATACACAGTTACATTGCTCATGATTGGGTTTTAGTATATCATGTTATAACACCCATCCCTTTATCAGTGTACATTTCCCACCATCGGTGTCCCCGGTTTCCCTCCCCGCCCCCCACCCCCCACCTGCATCTGTTGCAGGTGTTTCTCTATCTCTCCCCTTCCCTCTCCCCTTCATACTTTTAGGCATTATGGTTTGCAACACAGATACTGAAATGTTATCCTGTATGTCCCTTTACCTACTACATCACTCAGTTCTCATCCATAGTGATCATTTCTAACTATTGCTGTCAATCCTGTCCTTTCTCTATCCTAACTGCCTTTTGCCTCACATACACACTTTGGCAAGCTTTCAACCATTGACCAATCCTCCTGGCTCCCGTTTTTACTGACCTTGGATATTAGTCACCTACCATTTTTTATATCCCACGAATGAGTGCAGTTATTATATATCTGTCTCCTTCTGACTCATTTCACTCAGCATGATACTCTCCATGTCCATCTATTTATAAGCAAATTTCCTTACTTCATTTATCCTAAAAGCTGCATAGATTCCATTACCACAACTTCTTTATCCATTTGTTTACTGTTGGACATTTGGGTTGTTTCAATATCCTAGTGAGTTTACTAAGCATTGCAATAAATATGGATGTGTGCTGAGTTAATTTTTCTTGTGTTTGGGGGGTATTTAGATACCAAGAAGTAGAATTACTAAGTCACATGGGAGCTCTTAAGGGTTTTTTGATACACCTTCACACTCTTTTCCATAGTGTCTGAATTAGACAACATTACCACAATCAGTGAATGAGAGTTCCTTTTTACCACATCCCCACTAACACTGGTTGTTGCCTGTTTATGATATATACCATTCTTACAGTCTGAAATGATACCTCATTAATATTTTGATTTGAATTTACCTAATTAGTGACAATGAACACACTTTAATATCACCGTTGGTTATCTATATGTCCTCTTAATGGAAATGTCTATCTCCTCTCCCTATTTTTGTGAAGGGTTTGTTGGTTTCTTTGTGGTTGAGCTTTTGGTAAGTGCTTCATATGTCTTAGATACTAGTCCTTTATCTGATATATTGGATTTTTAAAATTTTTTTTTAGCTTTATTTTCTTTTATGTTTTTTTTTAAATTCTCTTTTAAGCGTTTTTCTTTCAGTATGCTTAGTTCTGGTTGTCTGGTTTTCTTGATTAAAGTTTTATTGATTCATTATTGTTTCACAATCCTAAATAAATTTCAGAAGTACCACTTCTAACACCTATGTGTATTTTGCAGTTGTGGATAAGACTGTTATAAATAACTGTGCATATGTATTTTTGCTGTGTCTTCAGGGTGAAGTCAGTGTGGTCAAAGGTCAATGCCTAAGTTGTTTTGCTAGATTTTGTCAGAGAATCCTCTGTAAAGGTTGTAGTATAACATTTTGCATTCCCATAAGAAATACCAGTGCCTGTTTCCTCACATTTCACCAACAGAGTGTATTTTGAATGTTATATTTTTCTTGGTTGGGTGAGATATGATAGTTCTCTTTAGATTAGTTTTAAAGATATTTATTAGTAATATTTATTTTTATTTTGGTTATATATGTTTAAAAATTTGCTGCCAGCTGTGGCTTATATTTTGATTTTGCTTGTGTTTTTTCCCCAGGTTAAATAAATTGGGGGTGGGATAAAGAA